GGAGACACAAAGAGAGGTCTTTCATTTGCTGGTTAACTTCCCAAACGGTTGTAATGGCTGAAGCTGGGCCAGACTGAAGCCAGCAGTTTCCACATGGGTGCAGGGACCCAATGGCTTGAGACATCTGCTGCTGCTTTCCCAGGTCACAAGCAAGGAACTAGATCAGAGGGGGAGCAGCCAGGACATGACCTGGCACCCATATAGGATGCTGGCACCATAGGTGGAGGCTTAGCTTACTATACCACAGTGCCAGCCTCCAAAGGAGTATTTCATAGAAGAAAGCAAAATACTTCTGTTTGCAGAATAGTTATTTTCTTCCTGTCAACTAGAAAGAGCATGTCTACAACCATTTAAAATTAACTGTAATATATGTACATGTATTATTACTTTATCCTAATGTTTTATGGCTTTTCTGATTATTCAAATTTTATCCTACTTTCATTTCAACTCTTAATTTTTTTCTTTTTTTTGTTGTACTTTTTTTTTTTAAAGATTTATTTTTATTATTTTTTCATTGGAAAGGCGGATATACAGAGAGGAGAGACAGAGAGGAAGATCTTCCGTCCGATGATTCACTCCCCAAGTGAGCGCAACGGGCCGATACTATGCCGATCCGAAGCCAGGAGCCTCTTCCGGGTCTCCCACACGGGTGCAGGTTCCCAAAGCTTTGGGCCGTCCTCGACTGCTTTCCCAGGCCACAGGCAGGGAGCTGGAAGGGAAGCAGGGCTGCCGGGATTAGAACCGGCGCCCATATGGGATCCCGGGCGTGCAAGGCGAGGACCTTTTTAACCACTTGCGCCACCGCGCCGGGCCCAACTCTTAATTTTTTTCACAAAGTTTTCAGTTACTGTTTATCCTACACAGATGTCTTCTTTTTGAACTTACATATATCTAGTTGCATAAAATAGTTTTACATTGATGTTACACTGCCTCCAATATAGTCTATTTAGTGTAGATAAATCTTGGCATAAACATAATAAAAATGGCCAAATCAGGGTCAATGTCACACACAGCACAGTGGATTTAATCACTGCATACAATTTGATTTGAATCCCAGCTGCTCCACTTCTGATTCGGCTCCCTGCTAACACTCCTGGGAAAGCAGTAGATGACAGTCCCTCCAACCGTGTGAGACCTGCATGTAGTTCTGGGTCATTGACGCTGGTCTGGCCTTATCCTGGGCATTGAGCCCACGTGGAGAGTGAACCTGTGCATGGGAGATCATCCTGTCTCTCCTCTCTCTTTCATTTTCTCTCCTTTTTGTTACTGCCTTTCTTCTTCTTCTTCTTTTTTTTTTAAAGATATATTTATTGATTGGAAAGTCAGATATACAGAGGAGAAGAGAGACAGAGAGGAAGATCTTCAGTCCGATGGTTCAATCCCCAAGTGACCACAATGGCTGGAGCTAAGCCAATCCGAAGCTAGGAGCCAGGAACTTTTTCTGGTTATCCTATGCAGGTGCAGGGTCCCAAGGCTTTGGGCCGTCCTCCACTGCTTTCCCAGGCCACAAGCAGGGAGCTGGTTGGGAAGTGGAGCTGCCAGGATTAGAACCGGCGCCCATATGGGATCCCGGGGCATTCAAGGAGAGGACATTAGCCACTAGGCCACGCCGCCGGGCCCTGTTACTGCCTTTCAAATAAACAATTCCTTTGAAACGATCAAATTATGTTTATCACAGCTCATTATGACAAACACTTCACAGATATATCACTTTCATCACACTGCAAAATTTAGTACATTTTTAAAATATTTACATTTATTTTTATTTGAAATGCAGATTTATAGAGAGAACGAGAGACAGAGGAAAAGGAAATAGATTTTCTATCCTCTGGTTCACTCGCCAAAACCCAAGCTGAGCTGATCTGAAGCCACGAGTCAGGAGTTTTCTCTGCATCTCCTATGTGGGTGCAGGGGCCAAGACCTGAGCTATGCTTTGCTGCTTTTGTAGGCCATAAGCAGGGAGCTGTATTGGAAGTAGAGCACAGGGGACACAAACTGGCTCTCATATAGGTTGGTGGTGCTGCAGGTGGAGGATTAGCAGGTTATGCCACAGCACCACCCCCTATTATTCATTTTATATATTAGGAAGTTGTGGCTCAGAAAGATGAAGTGATTTACCAAATCAAACAGCTGCTCAGTAATAAAACTAGAGTTAAAGTCTGATCTGATTCCAAAATGTGTGTGTATGTGTGTGTGTGCATATTTTAAAGTTTTATTTATTTAAAAGATACAGTGACAGAGACAGAGATTTTCCCTCTGTTTGTTCACGCCCCGGATGGCCACAGTAGCCAAGGATGGGCCGTACCAGGCCAAACCCAGAAACCAAGAACTGCAACCGGTCTCCAGGATCCAAACACTTGGGTCATCATCTTGCTTCCTTCCTAGGATTAAAAAATACCAAACTGACACAAGACTTCCTAATTCTTAGAATTTTTACTTTAGGGGCTGGAGCAGTAGCCTAGTGCCAATGCTCAGTGGTGGAAGCAGAACTTGGTAGCCACCATCAAAGGCCACAGGCTTCAAGTCACACAGCCTTTGTCTACATCCTGCCCCAGGGTGTCCGGAAGGAATTGGAATAAACACCTGGAGCATCCCAGATTTTCCACTTCCCATCCAGCTCCCTGCTTGTGGTCTGGGAAAACAGTGGAGGAAGGCCCAAAGCCTTGGGACCGTGCACCTATATGGGACACCCAGAAAAGGCTTCTGGCTTCGGATCAGCTCAGCTCCCACACTGTTGCAGTCAGCTTAGGGAGTGAACCAGCAGATGGAAGATCTTTCTCTCTGTATCTCCTTCTCTCTGTATATCTGCCTTTCTAATAAAAATAAATAAATCTTTAGCTTTTTTTTTTTTTACTTTATGCTTATGGAACTTTTCAACTTCAAAAATATTTTTGTCATATATCATTTCATGGGTAAATGGCAAGTTGAACTAAAGTGTCTTGTCTGAATATTTTCTTATTTCAGGTAATTAGATGCAATTCTTGCTGTCCTTGTCTCACACATTATTGTCCAGTGGGTCTTGAATTATTCCGGTGATGATAACATTTCTTACTGGAGTGACCTAGCCCTAGAAGAGTTTTCCTTTAAGACCTTTTTTTCTAAAGATACTTAGTACCTATTGTGCAAGGTTTGATGCTGGTACTTTTTTGATTGTGGTTGAAAATGTCAAAGCTTTTCAGAGAACAAGTAAATTGTATTTCCCTTCCTCAAATGGCACTTAAAGAGCTTGCTGATTGACATTTCCAGAGGTTACAGTAGTCCAGTGAACTCATTCTTAGTGGCAGACATACTCTTGGGGACTTTGTTCTGCTGATAGCAATTGTAAGATCTCATTACAGACTAGTTATTATAAGGTTGTTAAAATATGAAAAAAAAGTGTATTAGAATTGAGGGAAATTTTTAGCGTTTCTAGAACACACACACTGGTAGTTGCAATTGCTGGGTCAGTTCTGTCTCCAGCCCTGACTCTTACAGAAACCAATGGATGCTGCAGCCCAGTCCCACCCTACCCACCACAGATTTGGCCTTCAGGTACTTACTTCATCGGAAGCTGTAGCATAGTTAGAATGACCCCCAGTAACCTTCACTAGTAGGCCCTTGCCCAGCCCTGGTTCCTGTGCTTGCCAGTATGTGTAGCAGACTGGTTCAGTCTGTCCTACATGCCATTCAGCTTCCGTATACATCATTGGATGTTCAACAAAACTGACCCAACTATCCAGCCCAGACTCATGCTAGTGGGTACCAACGCATGTCTAGCCAGGCCTACCCCAGCCCGGGGTTCTCGTGCTCACCAGTGGGCGTTGCAACCCATCAGAGAGGTGCCCACATTTTCCCTACTGGACCTACTACCAGTCCTGGATCTTTCATTCTTCAGGTGATTCTGCAGTCTAGCTTGACAGTATTTGCCTCCAGTCACAGCACTTGCCAACTGATGCTGTGGCGAAGTCTAATGGGCCTGTATTTACTCTTGCTAATGCAGGCATTCACTTATGGATGCATGCACCAGTGGATATGGTCATTTCGCCCAGCCTGGATTTCCCCCCAACCCAGTTTATATGCAGGCCAACAATTGTTGTAGCTCTTCCCAACCTGGTCTGGCCCCCATCCCAGTTCTTACACTTGCCAGTGGGAGCACTGGCCCAGCAGAGGAGCCCTTGTAGCCTTCCTTCTGGGACTGGGTCCCTCCCCCCGGGTCTCACGTGTGCTGGTGGCACTGTGGCACAGTCTCACATGGCCCACCTCACCTTGGCATTCACCGGTGGGTGCTGCAGCCTAGCCTAGCCCAGTCAGCTCCCAGTCCTAGCCCTAATATGAATTGGCACAGTTAAAAGTGCAGAGGAAATATTATTCAATTGCTTTGTAGACGATAAGCAAAATATATAAAGGTTAAAATGTGTAAGGAGGTCGAAATAATCTATTGTTGTCTCGTTTCACTGCTGAGAGGTTGAAAATCCGTAGCATTTAACGCAGCCCCACTTCAATTCAGAAGTCACTCTGCTCATCTTTGTGCATTGGTAATGGCCATGAATGTGTGCCTTGAAGAAAGAAGGGCCGTGAGTTGTGAATCCGCTTCGCTGTTCAGAAGAGGCACTATGAACCCATCTAAACAGACAATAACTAACCCTTATTTTTAATAAATATTTTAATACGTTAGGTGCTTTAGCATTTCACTTGGGGGTTTTAATAAAACCCACAGTAGCCTTCTCAGATGCTTGAATGCGAGTACATCCACTTACGTCAGTCAGATTTCTTTTTCGGAATAATGAATTCCTAACATTTTCTAAGGAGAAGACAAAGGATTATGCTTGATTGACAAGCATCATCCCTGGCGCAGCGAGCTCCGGCTCTCGCGCGACGGCGAACGCCCCCGCCCTGACGTTCCCGGTTGCCATGGCAGCAGGCGCCGAGCAGAGGAGAAGGGGTGGTGCTAGGTGCAGATCCCGGCGGAGCGCTGCTGCTGCAGAGGACACGGAGCGCTCCTCTGCCGCTGGTCTGCCTTCTCCCAAAATGAGCGGCCTCGAAGGCGGCAACAAGCTCGCGCTCTCCGAGACTCCCGGCCTCGCTGCTCCCGAGCACGCCCCAGGAGATTCGGACCTAAGCCAGTGCCAGGGGCTCCGTGCAGAGACCGAAGAGACACCGGCCATGGCGGATGCAGGTGGGGTCGGTCTGGAAACCGCCGCAGAGGAAGGTACACCCCGGGATGCCGTGGACTGCGGTCCTGCGCTCAGCCCGATCGCTGCGAACCACGGCGGTGCGGCGAGCAAAGCGGCACAGGGAGATGCTACGTCCCCCACGCAGGGCTCCGAAGCCGCCTGTGCCTCCATGGCAGCAGACAACAGCCAGAAAAATGGCTGTCAGCCTGGAGAGCCGCGCAGCCCAGCTGGGCAGAAGGCTCTAGAAGCCAGCGGCGCAGGGGGGTTGGGGTCTTTGGTGATCTCTGGGGCCAAAGCCAAAGAGATGACGACTAAGAAGTGCGCCATCACTGTGGCAGCAGAGAAGGAGGGAGAAGCTGAGGCGGGGATGGAGAAGAAAGCTGCACCGAAGGAAAAGAAGGTGGTGGGAGGAGTGAAAGAGGAGGCGCGGCCCAGGGCTCCGAAGATCAATAATTGCATGGACTCGCTGGAGGCCATTGATCAGGAGCTCTCTAACGTCAATGCCCAGGCTGACAGGGCCTTTCTTCAGCTGGAGCGCAAGTTTGGCCGAATGCGAAGACTTCATATGCAGCGCAGGAGCTTCATTATCCAAAATATCCCGGGGTTCTGGGTCACTGCCTTTCGGAACCACCCGCAGCTGTCGCCTATGATCAGTGGCCAAGATGAAGACATGATGAGGTACATGATTAATTTGGAAGTGGAGGAGCTTAAACATCCCAGAGCAGGCTGCAAATTCAAGTTCATCTTTCAGAGCAACCCCTACTTCCGAAATGAGGGGCTGGTCAAGGAGTATGAGCGCAGATCCTCTGGCCGGGTAGTGTCTCTGTCCACTCCGATCCGCTGGCACCGAGGCCAAGACCCCCAGGCTCAGATCCACAGGAACCGGGAAGGGAACACGATCCCCAGCTTCTTCAACTGGTTCTCCGATCATAGCCTCCTCGAATTCGACAGGATTGCTGAGATTATCAAAGGAGAACTGTGGTCCAATCCCCTCCAATACTACCTGATGGGTGACGGAGCCCGCCGAGGAATTCGAGGCCCACCAAGGCAGCCCGTGGAAAGCCCCAGGGCCTTCAGGTTCCAGTCCGGCTAATCTCTGCCCTCCTCAGAAGCTCCTGCACAAGTTTCCTTACCATCTCCTCCTGGACTTAACGCTTGACCAATAGCATGCAGTCTTCTCTCTGCCTTCTCTTCATACTGGATCACTGTGTCCTCTGGACTTTCCGAATCTTCAACAGATTGTGCTTAGGTGCCTGTGCTCGTCTCCTTCTGGGCCTTCATGCTCTTCTGCGTAGTGTTACTGTTCCAGGTGCATGGCCTCCTTCTGATGCTTCTATGACAAGCTCATGATGCTGTAGATGCGTATTGTCTTTGCATGGCTTGAGCCCTGTCTGGGACTATGGTCGTCTTGTAGTTATCTAAGTGGTTCTCTCCTACAAGAAAGCTTGATCCATTTTGAAAAATAACTATCTGGGCTTCATACTTCATGCTGCTGTGCTCCTGATAATTCATATGCTTAAGGCATGCTCTGATTTGCACCACCACAAGATGAGAAACTGATATCCCAATTCAGCCATCAACTGAACTGGACATTCCAGGCTACCACTGACTGGATGCCAGGTGCCTCCCAGAGCTTAGGCCATCTACCATGCTGGTTATTTGGCAGAACAAGCAGGTGGCTGGTGGGTGACTGCTAGGTATGAGAATTAAGTAACAGAGAAGAGGCATTTCTGTGTTACAACCTGGACTTTTCCCTTTGATGACTCTGCTTTGGGACCAGCTACTGGTGAGTATGAAGGTCTGTGTTGGAGCTCACCCCTACTTGCTAGGCACAGTTCACTAATGTCTGCCTGGAGAGCTATCTGTGGTTCATTCCCAGACACATGCAGGAAACCCACACCAGCACCCCCTCGCCCCTTTAGACAGATTGGTCTGGCCTAAGTAACAAGCCAACCCAATCCAAGGCCGGCCGGGTCAGACCTCTCCCAGCATTTAGCTTTACTGATCTCTGACCAACAAACTATGGTTAATCTGGACAATTCAGATTACCACAGCCCCTAGTCACTCTCCCATTACCATCCTGAACATGGCAGAAGTTATCAGGATTGTGGGGTACTGAAGAGATGGTTATTTTCTGGAATGTGGTGTTTCTTAATCCTCTTAGGTTAAGCTCATTCTTTCCCTGTTTCTTGAGCAATTCAGGAAACAAAACTGCCCAGCCATCTTTCTGTTTAACCTCTGGGGTTGCGTCCAGAGAAGGGTACTGTGAAACAGACTCCAGATCTCCTATTGCCCTCATCCCCCTACATCGTTTACTTTAAAGGTGTGGAAAGTTTCAGAGAGATCTGTAATTATTTAAGGGCGATGTTCTTTTAGGCTAACCTTGACATACCCAGCCCCTCCAATTCTTCCCAAACCCCTGTGTTTCTTTAGTTTGAGAAGCTGAGGCGAGGAAGAGAGGGGTTCAGGACAGGCCTCAAAACAAGATATAACCGGAAGCGACCAGAATTTAGTTTCCTTCCACTTTCGAAAGATGATGATTCTTTCTTGGTCCTTGGACTTCTCAGAAATGGTCCCAGAGTTGGATCTTGTAGGTCACCCTGTTCTCTGTACTGTTTTACTACTGCTCTGTTGTCCCATGGGCCTCAACTGCCTGGTTGCCTTGGTCCTCAGTTTCCAGTTCTGCATTTCCTCTCAGCTTTTGCTTTAACAAAGAAAGGGCTGCCTTTGGCTGAGATGTCCTATGACATCTGTCAATTTCCAGGGTAAGTTCCAATGAGTGGGGCAGTGGTGGTGTTAGGGCTGTGTTAGGTGAGCTTAAGGTGTTGCTGATGGCCACCCATTGTCCTTTTCCTTTCCTTTTTCGAGGCTTTGCTCTGAGTCTTTGAAGGTTTATAAGACAAAAGTCACAAGCAGTGGAAAGGATGCCTTAGATGGGGGAAACTAAGTAAAGACCCAGAAGTAGAAATCCCTTTGTGGAGTGGGCTTGCAAAGGCCAGTTGAAAAAGCAAACGTAGGATCAGAGGGAGGAGGGGAGGTCCGTTAGGATACAGATAAGAGAATCAAGGCTTGGGGTTTAAATGAGATGTTTACAGGAAGATTTTTCTCCAGTGTTTCCTAACTCTTCAGATTTGCGAATGTATCTAGATTCTTCTCTCTACTGTTCTAGGAGTGACCTTTGTATATGTGGAGGATTAACGCTATATGCTCCTTAATTCATTTTGCATAAAATTGTTCCTTTCTCCATTACAGCTTAATGACAGATTTGATGTTTACATGTCTACTTCTCTTGTAATTGAGAACATGTACAAAAATACGTTTCGTGTCCTGTGAAGTTTGAAGACTTCTTGAATATTCTGTAGATTAGCTTGTTCTGGTCTCTGTTCATATATAACTTTGGTCTTAGAAATAAAACTTGAATATTGTGATCTTTGAAGAGTCAAAAATTTTTCAATTGTTGCTAAGTCTTGTGAAAGTGGTCTTAAACTGAAAAATACAACTTTGTGTCTCACTTGACATTTCTTGCCCTAGTTATAATGTACTTGTATGTTTCCTAACCAGTTTAAATACTAGTAGAATTACTCTCAACAAGGATAATTAGTATTTTGTCTTCTATGTGCTTGAAGGAAAAATGTCACTACTGTACTTCTTTTCACCAAAAATAAAGATAAATGCAAAAGTTCTGTGTTGTCTAGTTTAATATAAAAATTGGAACATCACTGAAATTATCAAATGGTCTCAGTAACTATTGTCCTGACAGTTTGACAAGGAAAAAAATAAGCACACAGCTAACACATAATTTTTTGCTTAAGACATGGTAAATAGGAAATTCAACCTCAAGTATATGCTGATAAATATTTCCTATAAACATAGGTTTTGGTGGTAACTGAAGCACTATATATTGATTTTCTAACAAAATACAGTTTTTAGGAAAAAACTTCTATGTGCCATCCTTATCATGGTCTTCTTATGAGCTTAACAGACTTTTAGAAAATTAATCATTCTGTATTCTGTCTATGAGTGCACTTCAATCCTTTCCCTGCAACTACATGCTTTTAAAGGAAAAAAAAAAGTATGCCTGAAATATGAAAATCTATGAACAGATGACATGAGCTGTCACAACTTCAGTTTCTACTAAGGATACCTCTGCCCAGCAGTGGTCACTTCAGACTAGGGGAGGAGCACTTTGGCGTTGTCTGTATTAGCAAGGGCTGCAATGTGTTTTTGAAAGGAATAATCAAATGTTTTTACCAGGCCAAGTAAACATTTGACATAAATGGGCAAAATTTCTATTTTCAGAAACTTAAAAGTATATAAGCACAGTTAAACATACTTGTTGTCTCTTTTGGTACAATTCTCACTTGCAGATTCTTGCTGAGGTATAACTGTGTCTAACCCTGAACAGTTCATTTAAAGAGCTAGGTTTCATTTTACAAACTATATACCTAGCTTAATCCTAAATTCCTGCTACAGCGTTTATATTTTCACTGCAGTGACTGACTCTCAGTCACCTGCTTAAAGCTTCATCTTTTTTCTGTTATTTCCCTGTCCCTCGGTTAATTTAGTCTAATAGGTTGGTGCTACTTGTTACAAGCTGGCATCATTCCTGTTGTTTAGTCTAATAAAACTAGTCGTTAAATTAGATACCACATGGGTTTCACTTACCAAGCAGTTCATTCTAAATCTTGTTGCACTTTTCTGCTTGTCATGTCGGTTTTTTAAAAGATTCATTTTTTATTAGAAAGTTATATACACAGAGAGGAGGAGAGCAAGAGAGAAAGATATTCCATCTGATGATTCACTCCCCAAGTGGCTGCAACAGCTGGACCTGTGTTGATCTGAAGCCAGGAACCTGGAGACTCTACTGGGTATCCCATGCGAATTAGGGTCCCAAGGCTTTGGGCTGTCCTTGACTGCTTTCCCAGGCCACAGGCAGGGAGATGGATGGGAAGTGGGGCCAGAGGGACTAGATTGGTGCCCATATGGAATCCTGGCAAGTGCATTGTGAGGACCTTAGCTGCTAGGCCACCACACCGGGCCTATCATGTCAGTTTTTAAACATTTTTCTATTTGAGAGGCAAAACGTGAGTCATTCAACTGGTTCACTGCTGACAATGTTTGCAACTGGTTGGTACCAGGAGTGTAAGCACTCAACTCAGGTTTCCCACTTGGATAGGAGAGACCCAACCATCTCAGCCATGACCTGCTGCCTCCTACGGTCTGCATTAGCAAAGCCAGGACCCATATCAAACTGTTATCCTCTGGAATGAGATAAGGGCTCTCTCAAACACTAGGGAAAGACTTGGCAACTCTTGTCAGCTCTTGATTCTAATAATTTTATATGAAAACCCCCCAATCAGTTAAAAGCTTCTCATTCTCTGGTCACCAAAGAAATATTGTTTTTGTCTGCTGAGGCCATACAGCCCTGTTGAGTAACCACATTTTAGAATTTCCCTTTTCCTCACATAATAATGGCTTTGATGATTTTATTTTCCATTTCTGTGCATTCAGCTTAATCATAAGAACTATAGGGAATTAGACATTTCTACCAAATTTAAAGAATAAAGAATTGCTTTTAGTAGACTAATTTATTGCTTTATTAAATTTTGGCTTTTACCAAGAATGCATAAAAGCTATGTTATCAAGAAAGTAAACAAAACAAAACAAAACACTTTGAAAAAGAGTTCCAAACAGGTGAATGGATAAGAACTTGATTTCCAGGGCTGGCACTGTAGCATAGTAGGCCAACCTTCTGCCTGTGGTGCCAGGTGGGGATGCTGGTTTGAGTCCCAGCTGCTTGACTTCCGATCCAGATCCCCTGCTTGTGGCCTGGGAAATCAGAGGAGAATGATTTGGATTGGAGAATGATTGGATGCTGCAGCTGCACCAACGTGAGAGACCTAGAGAAGGCTACTGGCTTCTGATTGGCTCAGCTCTGGACACTGAGGTCATGTGAGTGACCCAGGAGATAGAAGATGTTTGCCTCAGTTTCTCTGTAACTCTGCCTTTCAGATAAGTAGATTAAAAACAAATGAACCCCAAAACTCCTGGATTATCAAGATGCCTATGCACTGCCGCTCTTGACATTCTAAGTAAGGCCCTAATTTTTCTACAGATGGAGTTTCAGTGCTTTTCCATTTTGGTTACCTCAGCACCTGCAAAGGAAACTAGTAACTTCTCAAGGTGAACATCTGAACCTGAACACAAATAGTAAGCCTGCCTATTGGCTAACGTCCAAGAACTCACTGCACATTTTAGGGCTAATGTGATTCTTGGATCTTTATTTCACTCTCTCAGCTATTATAATACTTGTTTTAATATTGGGCTAAATCATACATTACTTTAGGACACAAATACGTTTTTAATTTTAATCTGATATGTCCTAGGCATGTTACGACTGTCAAAGTGTGGTTGTAGACTCAGATTTTGGTGAGTATAGATCCAGTGTAGATCTTACATGTCTGTCAACTAGTAGTACAAGTCAGGGTTGGCTCACACGGTGAGATAGACCACCATTTGTGATTCAAGCATCCCACATTAGAGTGCAGTTTGGAATCCTGGCTGCTCCACTTCAAATCCAACTCCCTGCTAATGCACCCAGGAAAACAGTGGATGATGGCTCAAGTACTTGGGCTTCAGCTGCCTGGCTGAGAGATGTGGATGGAATGCTTGCCTCCTGGTTTCAGCCTGGCCTAGCCAAAGCAATTGTGGACATTTGGGGAGTGAACTAATCGATGGAATATCTCTATTTCAAATAATTAAACACATCCTAAAAACACAATTCCAAGTTGAGCTTACATGAAGACTATCCCTTGGTAACCACGTGGCTCTGAGCAAATATTTAACCTCTGAATTTCAGTTTCCTCATCTGTAAAACTTACATGGTAACTATAGGGAGTAAACACAATAATGTATATATAGTACCTATGGTGAAGAGTCAGCATTCATTACTTCTATGTTAATATTTCTGAGGATAGTTCCAGAAACCAAGAGAAATGTTTCTGAATTAATTCAGTATGAACCAAACCATGCCCAGGACAGCAGCTGGACCATATTGGATGTTTTTTGGCATGCTTTCATGGCTTTGGTAACAGTAGTCAAGTGTATAAAACATTTTGCACTGATAATCTGTGCTCGAGAGTTTAACCAAAGATAAGGTAATGTTACTACAGCATCATTTATAGAGAGCCATCCATGGGATTCTAACATGTAGTCAAGTTTATTATACCCAGAGAGTTAGTTTGATATTTTATTTTAGGTTGGGTTGTTATTCAAAATAATTCACTAAAAGTACATGTGTGGTGATATGTCATTCATATATATATATATACACACACACACATGCACACATATAATTGTTGGATATAAGTGTTAGTGGGTAAATAGTACATTTCAATTTATTGACTGACATTCAGAAGTACTTGAATTTAAATTGCAGTTCATGGTACAGTGAAAGTTTCAGCTACTTCAATATTCTAAACAGCAAACTCTGCCAAAGTAATTGGTCATTCAGGTCTTCCCTCTGTGTGATCAAGAGTGGCCAAAAAGAGAAATCTCAGCTCTTTACCATTTATTAAGGTATCTTTTAGATGTTGAATATTTGTCTGTGTGTTAATACTAAGTTTTCTGCCCAGTTACATAACTTTTCTTCATATATTATAAAAATTCTTTTTGTAGTGTCACTTTTTGAAGATTATTTTTACTCTTCATATACAATTAGAAACAAAGTCATGTTTTAGAATAAAAAACAAAATAAAAAAATACAAACGCAGTTAGTTTTAAAAAATTTTTTTATTGTTTTTTGATACAGTTTAGTTGGCGCTGGGATCTCCCTTCCCACTCCCCCAAGTTAATCCAGTTAGTTTCTAAAAACAACATTCATTAGAAGAAGCAGAGATATGTCAGAAAGTTGCAAGGAAACTTAGAAATAAACTCTAGCTTTTTTCTTTTTTACATCATGGAAAAAAGTGGCCAAATTAAATGGTAGCTTTTTCAAGTCTTCAGGCAGGTACTGACAAAAGTAGAACTTCTGACCCGAGTTTAAAAAAAAAAATGTCTACTCCTCAATGGCTACACTTATTTGGGACTCTCATATTTCATATTCAGAGTAGTTGATAAACACTGAAAGAATACTTTGCCATTGAAGCAATAAACATAAATAAATAAGAAAAATAACTATTTTGAAACAAAATCAAGTGTCTATTTAAAAGACACAGGAAAATGACATCTTTTACTAAGCTCAAAGTCTGATGATGTATGCTAATTATAATATTACAATGACAGTAGATCAATGCCAAATATATCACCATATATCTACAGATAGATACAAAACAAAGCTACTTGGATGAAAAAATTCTCTTTTGCCCTACCCTGAGAAACTCATCCCCACAAGTATGTTTGGGATATAAATGATCATTTTAAATACTATCTGGCTCCAAATATCTACTAGTGTCTATACACAGCAGATAGAACACAACAATTCTGGATTACAGTATATCTCTAAATCTTCTTATAGTAATTTTTATCAACCAGTTTATTCATTATCATCCTCTGTAGAAAAATTTAGCCCAACCATAAACTTTTAATATTAGAGTTCCTCCCAAAGATTAAAAACTGATACAGAATAAAATTGTAGAGCATGGGTTCACTTTTAGAAGGTTACAATACAATGTATTATTTAATATTGCTTTTCATATCAACAGCCAATTTTTGCCTCATTTGAGCATACATGCCATGAAGTTATTAAGAATTGATTAAATAATCTTTAGCATTATGGGGGAGCAGGAATCTAAGAGATGAGAATAGGCTAAGATAATGGCTTCAGTACCATGTCTGTGCCATACTATCATCTCAGAGATCATGTCTCTAGTTCCTTGTTTTGGAAAACACAGGAACAACATAAAACCTAATAGCTGGGAGAAATAAATCAGCTCATTGGACTCAGCGGATATAAACTGAAGGAACCAATATAGATCAGCTGTTCTCAACTATGGCTGCTCTTTCCTGGGACATTGAAAAGATGTACATCAATATTCAGCTACTATCTACTAAGACCAATGAAGGACACTGGTTCTCAAATTGGACACTGAATTAGAATCACCTGGATGGCTTCTGAAAACACACATTGCGGGGCAGCAGTTCCAGAGTTTCTAATTCAGTAGTTCTGGAATGGGGCCCACAGATATTCATGATGAAGTTCTCAGGTCCCCTGTGCTAGTTACACTTTGCTATTGTTCTGTGGACCACACTCCCAAATCCACCAGACTAGACATATGTGTAAATCTATGTATCATCCCCAAGGTGAATTCTGATCTCAAAGCTATTGGTATAAAAATATCACTAAAGTTCTTTTTTAGTTGTAGGATGATGAGACTTTAAGTTACAGCTATTAAACATCAAACTGATTTATATAAAAAGGAGACCTACAAACATGTATCAATTTCTTGGTCAGTTTTCATTAAAAATTTGTTACAAAGCATTTACAGTGTTTCCTGAAAATTCTTCTTCTTCTTCTTCTTTTTTTACAGTGTTCTTGCTGCATATGTGGGCCTTTAAGTAACAATACTTAGCTGTCAGTGTTTCATCATTTGATAAGACTACTGATCTACTACCAATGGTCTAATGAACCAATGGATAATAGCCAGCTGTTTTTGAATTGCTAGAAGAGAATCTCGTAAATTTGTAGTCCAAGGGTAACTCTGGAGGGGAAAAAAATCTGATTAGCCCGCAGGTCTCCACATACTTTTCATAAATGTAAATGGACAAATAAAACACTGAGACACTGGCATTGTGGCACGGTGGGTTAAGCCATTCCCTCCAAACTTGGCTGGTCTACTTTAACCCAGCTCTGTGGCTAATGCACCTGGGAAGGCAACAAAAGATGTCCCAAGTGCTTGATTCCTTGCCACTTTCATGGGAGACCTGAAGAAACTCTGGGCTCCTGGCTTCAACCCAGCACAGCCCAGCCATTGTGGCTGTTTGGGGAGTGAACTAGCTGATGGAAGATCTCTTTCCATTTTTCTCTAACAAAGTCTTTTAAAAATTGATATTCACTGCTAAGAAGAAGTCTAATAGTTTCATAATTTTAATATTTCTATTCCCAGCTAGGTGGATGGCACCTACAATGTAGAGTGCAACTGCCCTTCAGTGCAAAATTTATAATAATATGTAAATCAGATCACATGCAGAGACATGCAAATCATTTCCAGAGTGCTGACTGGGGAGTTTAATTCCCATCTTCTAAGTTACTAACTCCTTAAATGCCCACAATAGTTGGGAGTGACCCAAGCACTTGGCCCATCACCTCTTCTCCAATGTGTGCATATCAGCAGGAAGCTGGAAACTGGAACAGAACCAAGGCTGTTCTCTAATGTGGCATTTGGATACCCCAAGAATGACTTAATCGCAATGCCAAAAGCCCACCCTAGAACTAGGACTCCTGGGCTGGACTAAGCAGCACTGGCCTGACACCCAATGGCACACACAAAAGCTGGGGATCGGGCATGCCTCGTTGGACTAGGCTTTAGTATCTTCCTGAAAGTGTTGCAGCTGAGGGTGGGCCATGTCATACTGGGCTGCAACATTCACCAGAATGTGAGACAACTTGATCTGGGGGCAAATTCAGTAGGGGACTTGTGGGCTTGCCTCTGTGTGACTGCAACACCTTTGGGTTTGCCCGAGAGCTGGGCGTAATGATGTGCTAAGCCAGACTATACCTGAGAACTCATATGACACTCTTGGGAACCAGAGCTAGGAGGAAGACAGGTGGGGCCAGCCTGCAGCATGCACTGGCATTTGCAAACATTGGGTCTGAGGGCAGACAACACCAGACAGGGCTGGGGCACCCACTGGGATGCAGGATCTGGGGCTGGGATGGGAACTTGGGGAATTCTCCTGCTAGGTCACAACTCCCATTGGGGAGCACAATAACTGGGTCTGGGGTAGGGCAGGCCAGGAAAGGCTGCAGCACCTGCTGGCATGCAGGAAAGCCAGGGCAGGGTACGGGCCATACCTGGCTGGCCTAAGCTACAACACCAGCCAGCACATGGCAAGACCCAGGGCTGGGAACAGGCCTGATAGGGGAACTTTGGGGATTCTGTTGCTAGGTTGCAGTTCCCACTGATGAGTGTGAGAGTCAGAGCTACAGGTGGACTGGGCTGGACAAGGCTGCAGCACTTGTTGGCATGCAGGTGGGCTGAGTCTGAGGGTAGGACAGACTGGGCTAGGCTTAAGCACCTGCTGGTGCTCATGAGAGCCAGAATGGATGTGGGACAGGCTGAGCTAGGCTGGAGTACCCACCAGTAAGAGATGCAGTGAGTCAGAATAGGCTGGAGAACCCACTGGTGAGTGTCAGGACTAGGGTCTGGACATGTCAGGTTGGGCTGCAGCACCCGGAAGGCACATGCAAGATCCATTGCTAGGACTGGGCCTAATATGGAATTTGGGGAACGCTCCTGCTAGGCTGAAGCTCCTGTTGGTGAATGTGAGAGCCAGGTCTGGGGGCCAGGCTAGGCCACAGCGTTTGTTGGCATATATATAGGCTGGGCTGAGCCAATCCACAGTATACACTGAAACAAGTGGGACCCAGGATGGGGTACAGGCAAGGCTGTGTTGGACCACACCATCTGCCAGTTCATGGGAAGGCTGGGGGCTGGCTGGGCTGGATTAGTCTGCTGTATCCATAAGTGAGAATTGGGATTTAGGGGTGGTCCAGGCTGAGCCAGGCTGTAGCACCTATTGGTGAATGCCAAAACTGGGAGCAGGAGATTTCAGACTGGGCCACAGAACTCGTTGTCATGCACAATATCAGGGGGAGTGCAGGAGTGGGTCTTTTAGAGGGACTTTGGGGACTTCCCTGCTGGGCTGCTGCTTCCACTGGTGAGCATGAGAGCTGGGACTGGGGGTGGGCTAGTTGGGGCAGGGCTACAACATCTGGCAGCAGCACATGGGTCAGGTCTGAGGTGGGCCAGGCTGGGCTAGGCTGCTGTACCCACTGGTATGAGAAAGCCAGCAGTCGTGTGGGCTAGCTGGGACAGGCTGTAACATCTGCTGGCAAGTACTGGAGTGGAGTGCAAATCATATCAGGCTGGATCACAGTGTCCTCTGGCAGGTGTAAGATCTGAAGTAGGGAGCAGCCTGGTAGGGGAACTGTGGGCACTCCTCTGCTGGGTTGCATCTCCCACTGGTCAGCATGAGAGCTAGGGCTGGGGACAGGCCAGGTTGGTCAAGGCAGCACCTGTTGGCAAACGTGTAGACCAATACTAGGGGCAGAGTACTAAGTCAAGCTGCAGCACCTATAACTGTGCATGAGAGCCAGATGAGATGTAGGACAGAAAAGGCTAGGCTACAGTACATACCAGCACACCCCAAAACTAGGGCTGGGCTAAGCCTAGTGGAAGTTTCTGGGGGTCACCCCCACTAAGCTGCAGCACTTGCTGGTGTGTGTGAAGACTGGACTTGTGGTGGGCTGGACTGCACTAGGCTGCAGTACTGGTCGGTCTGCATGAGAAATGGGGCTGCGGGCAGTACTGATCAGGTAGCTGCATCCACTGGTATTTGTGTTGCTGGTGCAGTTGACGGACTGAACCTGACCCCGCACTGGCTGACCCATGCAAGAGTCAAGTCTGAGGTTACCCCAGGTAAGGTTTCTTGGGGATCTCCACAACGAGATGGCTGCACTCAAACCGTGGACACAGGGAAAATAACAATATATGTGGTTTGACTTGGAATGCATGTATTAGGACTTGGCCTGCTCAGTTGCTGATGCCTGTGCAGTGGGCAGCATGTCCAGATGCACACAGAACACATGCTAGCCAGATCATCCAGGCTAGCAGACGACGCAAAGGGCCTCATCAGAGGATGGAAAGTAGAACAGGCTGGACCACTTCTTTCGGTACATGTGCTGCCGAAGCAAGCCCAGGTCAGACCATTCTATTAGCCAAGCTTTGCAGCGTGTCCCTAGGTCTGTGGATGCACTAAGAGTGGACTTGTTCATCCAATGTACATTGGAAATATTTTTTCAACTCTGGTGCAATGAAGTCAATGATGCTTCAGAACTATCAGAACAATTCAAGTAACACTCTTGGAACACTCTTCCCCATGTTAAGGTCTCCAAGGTGTCATCAAATGACTGTTCCTGTCCCTGGGTGCTATGCAGTTTTACAGCAAGGGTAACCCCTTCCATTTCCCCTTGCAGACACAGGGATAGCGAAAAGAACTGAAACATATGTCCCATCTACCTTTCTCTATACCAGACCCTCTCATAATCAGAGGCCCCTATGGTCATATACCCCTCTTAACTATGTAAACTATTTGAAAAAATAGAATACAAAATTTGAAAAAGTGTTTTGTTAAAGTCTGTACAATGTCAACCATATTATCTAAACTGGGAAACAATTAAATGAAGTGAATGAAAATGAAAGTGAATATTCTTACACAATTAAGATCAATGTAAAATAATATCATATAGACAAACAGAACAACTCTGGGCAATTAAAAAGATTTGCAAGATAATATCTATATAAAGATTCTATCTTCAAGACATCTAACGTTGTCATTACTCCTTCTTTCTTACTTAGACGTAAATTACACAGTAGTATCTGACTATATTGAGCTAGTTACTGTAACAATCAATCTCAAGTTCTGCGTGACATATAACTTCCTTAGAATAGATGATGATCTCACAGCAATGTAGGTAGCTTAGACACCAAAATTTTGTTTTCTGAGGTTTCAAATGTCAAAAGCACAAATGGTATAATCCTTTCCACACCAGAAAATGGGCACTTGTTTAGCTCTGTTTTGTACTGGCAAGTCTTAGTTAGCATTTTTGTCCTGAGAAAAGCTGAGCCAAAGGTAAGGGTTCTCTTTCCTAGCTTCTGGAATATACATACAGGAGGCACACTGAGGTTATGGTTGTTTCAAGAGAGATGGTCATACCCTAATTCTTTGCCAGGGTTTTAAATTCTAAGATAAGAGAGTTTCACTCTTTGAAACTTCACTATTTTTCTTACTATTTCACAACCAAATCCTTTTGGACCTTTTCACAAAGGCACTTTGGAATAATCTGGCTTCCATTTTCACATTCTATCAGAAAAACTGAGTCACTTTGAAAGAAAAAAATGAACTATAAACATTGAAAATGATAGTTTAATTCTGGGCTGGCTTCTTTCTTAAAGTTCCAACACCCATTTTTTTTTTTTTTTTAAAGCAGAGCAATTACCTGGAAAAGGGAGAACTGTATCTAAACTATCTTTAATATATATATGTATATATATGTGTGTGTGTGTGTGTGTGTGTGTGTGTGACAAAACAAAAACAATAACCCACTCTTTCAAAAGCAGTACTCTTTTAAAAGGTTATACATGTTTTGACACTGGATTATATCTTGCCATAGAGGACAGATCTGTTGAAGGTCTTATGTGTCTTAGGGCAGTCCTTGTCATCATGCTACCACTGTTACAGGTGAATAATCCTATTTTGCTTTGCTTTCTGTCATAGCCATTTTAAGAGGCAGGGAATGTAGTCTGGTATAACCACCTTTAAGCTAACGTAAGAGAGTCTGCAGTTCAAAAATGTAACTAGATCTCCATTTCTAAAACAATTAGAAAAACTGGATGAAATACAAACATCGGACTAGTGAAACAGTATTGGCTGAGAAGGCAGCTATGATGGTTGGGGACACAGTTCTGGGAAGCAGTAACCAGAAGGTCGGTGAGCCTGCAGTCAGCCACAGCCTTTCCCTTCTGGGCACTTGAACTGTGGCTGTTGCCAGGGAGGCTACTGGCAGCAGAAATGCCAGTGAAGCGTTTCTGGCAGACTTGATGGGCTCCAGAGAGAAAAACTGAGTGGCTAGGAGCAAGGGGCAGTAACTCTGCTACTTTTCTCTTTAAGCCCTCAGTCAAGTTCTGAAGGGAATTTGTAAACAAAGAATTCAAGCAGAAAGCATACAATTCTGCACGGCAGGATGGGCATTTTAGGGGCTTCTCTGCAATGTGAAAACAAGGAAAGGAGAGGGGGCCTTGTAAGTATCCTGGATTTCTGGGAACTGAACCTTGATCATTATAAAGTGATTCTCATGTTACTGAAGTGTTTTCCTCTTAATATTTATTTGGCATCATATTAATATCGTCACTGTTAGCATGGTATTATCTCCTTCAATCTTTTGACATTTACACTGAATTTAAGCCGAGTCCTTATGTTTCAGACATGCACCTCACACTCAGTCTTTCATTGGGTATTTTATCCAGGTTTTTCACTGAAGCATTTGGTCATCTATATTTACTGCAGGTTTAAATCTATCATCTTACTAGCTCTATCCATTTATCCTGCTTATTCCCAATATTCTTTTTCTACCCTTATTTTTTTGATTCTTACATTATTTTACATATTAGTTTGATATGCATAATTATAATTATTTTGATGGTTTTCTGATTTTAACATGCATTTCTGACTTATCCATACCTAATATACTCTTACCTTTTACTGCGTGAATTCAAGGATGTTAGAACATCTTTATTTCATCTGCTCTTTGTGGCATTTATAATGCCATTGTTGTCATGTATTTTAACTCTCTATTGAAACTCTACAGGACTCAGTTTTTCATTATTTCACTGGGAAATAGTCATTTTATTTTATTTACATATTTTTGTTGCTATGTAATCATTTATGATTCTTCAATTTTCTGACAAGGAGCAATTTATCTTTCACCTAGGAACAATACACTTTAGTATTTCCTGTAGTGAAAGATTTCTGGAGATATTCTCGAATCTTTTCTTCCCCATTTTTCTGTATCTAAGAATATTTTACTTTTATTCTTTAATGATATCTTTAATGCAGGGTGGGGAACATCTGGTTCATGATCCATATAATGCCCACAAAATAACTTGGTCTGGCCCTGCCATGGCAAAAAATGTGGCCCTTGCAATTTAATAAATCTATAGCAGGCAAATTTCTTTTTCCGGTAATTTTGTATGTCTTGACAATGATGTTATAAATATCAAAATTGCACTTGGCAGAAACAAGCTTCCCCAACTTTGCTTTAATGGGTAGACAAAAACTTCATCAAGATTGGCAGCTGTTTCTTCATGCCCTTTGAAAACAACAGTCCATGGTCTTTTCACCTGCATTGATTCTGCAAGAAGTCAGGTCTCAGTCCATCATCCTTTTAAAACCAGCCTTTCTTTTGCTTTTATAAGGCCACTAGCAATGTGGAATCTCCTCAATCCAACTACAGAGTTTCAGGGGATCTGACACTGAGTTTCAGTCCTGTGAAATCATTTCCTAGTTCATCTTTATTCTGAGGGAAATCCTACTAGTCTCAACAGAGGATGAGAGGGTGCCTCAGGTCCCTCTCCTCAGGCAGGCCCCGGCCTACACTTCTCACCCCTGCAGACTGGTTGTTAGTGGAAGGCCCACCTACCCTCTAGTGAGAAAGCAGCTCCACAAGCAAGGGTCACATTATTGGACTTGCTTCGCATTCTTTACTGGGAACTCTTCCTTACCTCCTTTATATTATATTCCCAGGCAGACTTAAAATCAAAAAAGAAGGAAGGGAGAAAAGAAAGAAAGGGGGAAGGGAAGGAGGGAGAGAGGGAGGAACGAAAGAGAAACAAAGAAGAAAGAAAGCTGTCCAGCATTTGTACTTGGCTCCAATGGAAGTGTCATCCTAATTACTTAGATTGTCACACCTAGAAGGTGTTTCTGTAGAAGAAATCATATCATAGGGAGATAACTGTCTTTTCAAGACAAGACTTCTAGTATTTAAACTTCATTAGTATTGCCCTTCTTACCTGCAATTGCTTCAATACTAGGAATTGCAATAGTGCTGTAGGTATGTATTCTCCTAGAAGACCACGTATAAACCGAGGAGTCTTCTGTATTTTCCAGTCCCGAAATGGAATCAATAAAAAAAGAGCCCCATTTTTTCGACAAAGTATTTAAAGGTTTTGCCTTTGGTTCCTGAAACAAACAAAAAACCAGAATAGTAAAAACTGTAATCAATGAATGTTCAATCTGGTAAGTATTTTTTCATCCATTACGTCAATCAATAGAAAAGTCCTCTAGGAATCTACAAAACGGTTTTTGGAATACCCTGTCTTCTTGGAAATGAAAAATATTTTCTTACTGAGCAGCACTCTTTATGTTAAATTGAAACTGATTTTTAAAATAGTCAATTGGTTGTAATATCAAAAGTGTGCCAAACAGAACAATATAGAAACATTTTTCTATAATCAAAATAACAAGCTTAATTATTATAGCATCTAAACGATATCTAATTTTGCATTTGATTTTTACAGAAGGGAAAGAGGACAAAAATATTTGCTATTTCCAGTGTACCTAGAACATGAGACCTCCATCAAGGCCTTATGTATTTGTTGATTCTTAGATATTACTTTTTATTATTTTTGTAAATGACTTATTATCATATTTTGAATTAGCACCCATATGGGATCCCAGCGCTTGCTTGCAAGGTGAGAATTTAGCTATTAGCCATCACACCAGGCTCCATAACATGTTATTTGAGAAAGCTTGCAAAATCTGGGGATGGCTTTCATCATCCCAATGGATGCCAGTTTGAGTCCTGGCTGCTTCACTTCTGGTCCAGCTCCCTGCTTATGGACTAGGAAACCAGCAGAGGATGGCTCAAGTCCGTCGGCCCTTGCACCAATGTGGGAGACCCAGAGAAAACTCCTGGCACCTGGTTTCAGGTTGACTCAGTCACAGCCACTGGCAACTTGGGGAATGAATCAGCATGTCTTTGTCTCTCCTTTTCTTTGTAAATCTGCCTTTCAAACAGAAATAAAAGATGTTTGCAGAATCTTGCTTTTAGTTGTAATGAAGAAATAGATGAAAACATTAATAAAGGGATTAGTCTCCTTAACTAGGCTTGTTTTAATTATGCTTAAATCTTAAGTTACCTGGCACCATGTTCATGTTAGAATACGTGAGGACATGTAATTGGACCAGGATAATCTAAAAGTTTTTTTCTTTCAAAGAAAGCACTGCTGGGAAGACTTACTTCAAATTTCCCTTTCTTCTCTAGAGGCTCCGACTCCTCAGGATTCCCAACTTCTTGTCCTCTGAGCTCCTCCAGGATGAGAACAGTCTCCCAGTTGCTATAGTGACGAGCTGGGAAAACATCTGAGTGCATGCTGTCACCAAAGTAAACAACCTGGAAGTCAGATAGCAAATTCTGTTTGAAGCATAAGAATTGTACAGTGCAGTGGTATTATTTAATGGAAACTGGAAAATCACACCTCAACAGTGCGTGTTCTTCATCAAACATCAGAATAAGCATCTTAAACATCTTTGAATTAAATCCACAGGTGAACATCAACCTGTTTCATTTTGCTTTAAGGAATTATGAAATGTATTTTTAAATAGCTGAAAGGCAGAAAATGAAATAGGTATTTTGACTCAGTCCATCTGAGACTGTGTGTTTATAACTAAACCTGTCCCCTGGACTTAAGAGTTGATGAGACATCAGACAGAAGTTGTGACAGTGGGTTACACACAATCTAAGTGTATAGTACAGCTACTCTCGAAAGCAGTTGCTGGGCTCCAGAACAGATCTACTGAAACAGAATCCCTAAGCACGAGACTGGGCATGCAGGATCTGGAAAGATCTGCTCTAGCTTCCATCCTTCAATTTACAGGTGGGAAAATGCAGTGAACGGCTAGGAACTAGAATTTCTATGTGTGGATGTTCCATCTACTAAACCCCTCAGTGGGTCCAAGGGCTCCAGCATGATCGCAGCCAGTGGTGTAGGATTCGGTTACCTGATGATCTCTGCTGCTCATGGGGCTCCTGGAATACATTCTTGAAACACAGGGTTCTACTGCTCAAAATTACCAAGGTCCAACATTAGCTATGTCATCAAGTTATCAAACCCAAGCCTGTCTTTAGATATATCTGTGGTGTAACCTCAGTTATTTTATATACAAAAAGTTTTTTTTTTTTTTTGTGGACTGTTACTGAGGTATCATTCTCACACACAGCACACACTAATCGCGTATACTTCCTAGATCTGCAGCTGCATGCTTGGAACCTGACTCTGCTCTGTCACAGAGACCCAGGCCACAGTAATGAAGGAAAGTTTCTTTAGGCACAAGAGGAAAGAGGAGGGATTTGGTGAACAGGCAGAGGCAGATGGTTTCTTCATAGGTAACTAAGCTGAATGCCCTTAAAACTATAGGTCCGATTTTCAACTGATTATTTCTTCAAGTGGCATCAAGAACTCTGTATTCATTGGAAAAATACCTTGGGTTCCGGCTTGCCAGTCATTTTCTTCAGAAGCTCATAAAGTTGGGCAGCGTTCCCTTGGGAGTACCACCCGGGTTTATCCAGAGACGGCAGCACGTCCTGCTCCTCATCATTCTCTGGAAATAAAGTTTGACAATCATACACCTTGTAATCAAGGGAGAGTTTCCTGGCAGACTACATTTAGCACATGGCTGCAGGCTGCAGGCAATGCACCTAAGAGGAACCATGTGCGGGAAGGGAGCTAGCATTCAGCCAACAGCTCTTATAAGCACTTCATCGGCCATATGTTTTTTTCTTAGATAATAACTTTATTGAGTCCTGATTAGTCTAGCTTGTGAAGCATATTTTGAATTAAAATTTAAGCTTTTAAAAGTTATTTTTATTGTTTTCAATGACATAGTTTGTAGGCATAGGAATTACCCCTTTCCTTCCCCATCTTCCACCCCACTATTCTCCCCCATTATTACAGCACTATAATCCTACAGCAACAATTACAAGTTCAACATTCTGTTGTCCACATGCACCTCGAAGTTGTAGGTATAGACAAAGGCAAAAAAATCTAGCATCATATTATTCATAACACTGAGGTATATTTAACTGTTTCATTGGGAGTAGAAATGCATACTGCAATATTGTAAGGTATCTTCACCTCCAGTTATTCTAGCCTCAAATATATAGTTCATCTATGTGGGTGTGTGTGTATATACACACATATTATATATATTCTCACATATATTATAGAATATATATATTCTCATATATATATATATATATATCCTTTTGGAATTGGCTTATTTTACTGAGCATAATGGTCTCCAGTTTTGAACATTTTGTTGCAAATGATAGAATTCCACTCTTTTTTGAAAAGATTTATTTATTTTTATTACAAAGTCAGATATATAGAGAGGAAGAGAGATAGTCCAATGATTCACTCCCCAAGTGAGCGCAATGGCCGGTGCTGTGCCGATCTGGAGCCAGGAGCCAGGAACTTCCTCCAGGTCTCCCACATGGGTGTAGGATCCCAAAGCACTGGGCTGTCCTTGACTGCTTTCCCAGGCCACAAGCAGGGAACTGGATGGGTCGCTCTGACTATGCTGCAGTTCCTACTGGTGTACGTGAGGGCCCAGTGTTTGGTGGGCTGAGTTGGGCTGGGCAGCACCATCCATTGGTTTGTGTAAGAGATGGGGCTGGAGAAAGAACTGACCCAGTAATTGCATCTACCAGCACGTGCATAGGCTGATGACAGAGACAGACTGAGGTTGAGGCAGACCTCATACTGGCAAGCACACAAAAACGTCAGGTTTGGGGTCACTTCAGATGAGGTTTCTTTGGGGATTCCCCCAATTGAACTGCTAGACTCAGAACTCCAACCATGAGGAGAATTGCTAGATCTGTGGACTGATCATGCGTGCATTTGTCAGAACTGGGCCTCCTCAATGGCTAAAGTGGAGCAATGGGTGGCATGTCCAGGTGCCCATGGAAGAAATGGCAGTCCAATAGGGCCTGCAGAGGACATTCAGTATCACAACAAAGGAAGGAGGACAGAACACATTGGTCAACTACCCCAGCTAAGCATTGAGAGCAAACATCTGGGCGAATGGAGACTCTAAGGTAGATTATGTCAGCCAATGGATCTTGGAATGATTTCCTCATCCTTGGATCTGTGAGATCAATAGCATTTCACAACTATCAAAACCGCTTAAGCAGAACCCTCAGAGCATACTCCACATCAGGGACTCTGGGATGACATTGAGTGGTTTATGGCACCTTAATATGCTGCCCAAACTTAGCGCTATATATGGTCATCTATTGTATTGGAAACAAGTCACCAATGGATAATAAAAAGAACAGGGACTTTACAATGCACTTTGGACTTAATGTTATACATTTAATTATTTTTTACATGTTATCTCAAATCACTGATTAAACATGACCATCTTATGAAAATGTCAATCCATAGCTTTTTCCTGAAATTCAATTGATATTTTCAAGTTTAAAATGTTCTTCAGAGTGGAGTAGAATGTATCAGTGCAAAAATTATCCCACAGAAATAGACTGGAATAATTTTTTATGCAAAAGCCTGATATCCAAAAATATTCTTAAAAATTTCTAAGCTAATGATTAATAGATGTTTGGGCTTTAAGTTACTTACAAGGAAAAAAAAAACCTCATAGTATATTAAAGATCTAGCTTGTTTCTATGGCCTATCATTTACCAAAAATTGACTTAATGAAATTAAGAAGCCAAATGAAAGGTAATGAACTAAATGTATAATAAATTAAGGTGTGGGAGAGAGACAGAGAGAGAGGTGAAGACAAAGAGATTTTCTTTTTTTATGTAAATGATGATTATATTTATGAAAATTGAAACACAAAAAGTGATTTTTTAAAGAAATTTGTACAAGAAAGTGAGACCTAGTAATTTATGTGGTTACTTAGGGAAATGTATAAGAGGAAATGAAGAGGGGAAGGGACATAGAACAGGGGTAGATTCTGTTTGAAATATGTCTTTATGGAATTGGTGGTAGTACCATAAGTGCTGGTATCACTTCTCAATTCTGAAATAATTAGAATTATTGCACTTTTTAAAATTGTATTCAAACTTAGCAGTTTATAGTATTCAAGCAAAATTTTACAGAACTACATGCATTTTAGGATAATTAAAACAGACTTATAATTCTAATAAGCCACATATTAAAAATTGAGGCGTAGAATAGTCTTAAGCAGTTGAGCAGAGAAATCCCCAATAACTTAGCAAGTGAGGAATAACTGAACTCTGCATCCTACCTAGTGAGGTCTAGGAAAAGCCAAACTGGGAACTTGACCAGTTAGGTACAGGTTGAGCAATTATAGGTCAGCTGACTTTTTCCTGTCTGTTCAAAGCTTTCTAGAGATTTTCCATCTACTGGTTCACTCCTCAAATGGTTGCAATGGTGTGGGCTGGGCCAGGTTCCAGCCAGGAGCTGAGTTTCTTATAGATCTCTCATGTGAGTTCCGGGGGCTCAAATACTTGGCCCATCCTCCACTGCTCTCATAGGTACATTAGCAGGAGCTGGAAGTGGAGCAGCAGGGACTTGTAATGGCATCACCATTGGATCCTGCCTTTGAGGTAGTAGGCTAACTCATTATGCCACAATGCTGTCGATGCCCCTAAAACTCATGTGAAAGCTGCCTTTGTGTTTGGATATAGCTATGTTTTATTACAATAATTTGTTTTAACAATTAAAAATAGCAATAGAAAAATTTTACTCAACATTTCCATAAAATAAGTGTGAGAAAATGACAGTCAAAGTTATGGCTAGTAGCCTTGACTAAAGACAGGTGAAACCTATCCTAGGAAGCAGAACTTTCAGGAAAAGTTTGTGTGCTAGACCACTCACTGATGACAACATAGAGTGGCTACCGCATTCCCCAAGTGCCCAAAGCTTTTGATGTTACTGTCTGCTTTTGATGTTACTGTCTTGTTGGTGATTTGAAATTACATATTTTTGTGATTTTAAAAAATACTCAAGACTCAATTTTAATGTGGCTTGGGACACCGTATCCCTAAATAGAGTGCCTGGGTTGAGTCCTGGCTGCTCTGTTCCCAACCCAGCTTCCTGCTATTGCTCCCTGTGGCAGGCAGCAGATGATATCCAGTGCTATAGCAGTACAGATGACAGCTCGATCATGTGAGTCCCTGCAACCCAGATGATCTGAGTCAGGTTCTTGTTTTCAGTTAACCCAGCTCTGGTTACTGCAAGCCTTTGGGGAATGAAACAGTGGATGGAAGATCTCTGTCTCTCTGAGTGAAAAAAAAAAAAAGAGACAAACTTTAAACAAAAGTCTATTTTTTCAGTTATTAGCTATATGTTCACATCTTCTGCAAAAGGCTGTCACCTTTTGTTACTATTATTTCATACCATTTAAAATGAATATGAATATCCTTTTCCTTGATCTCTTAGTATTTACTGATGAATAACTGACATACAACACATTTAACAAATGTAAGGTATATAACTGGATGGATTTGAGCATATTTCCAAATATGCTATGGGCTGAGCAGCATTATGTCACAACTCCAACACTGAAGTCCTACCCATCAGTACTTCAGAATGTCAGTGTATTTGCAGATTTTAGGAAACTAACAAAGTGAGGCCAGTAGGATGGGCCACAATCCAATGTACTATCCTCAAAAGATGGAAAAATTAGAGCACAGATAAACACTGAATGGATGCAGGTTACCTGAAGATGCAGGGAGAAGAGGAGCATCTACAAACCAGGGCAAGAAAACAATCCTGCTGATACTCTGGTCTCAGACTTCTGTACAACAGCAAAAAAATACATTTCTGTTGTTCAGGCCACAGGATCTATGCTTTTCAAAAAGTGGGTCTAGCAAACTGAGATGATTCTTAGAACCACCTGCTTGTTACATACACATGTGAGTATAACTTGCTCATTTCTGATGCTTGCTATTCATAGTAGGTTGTGATCTAGCTGTTAGGATGCCTGTGTTCTGCATCAGAGTACTTGGTTCAATGGTGGCTGTGGCTCCTGACTCCAGCTTTCACCAGTGCCCACTCTGGGAGGCAGCAGTGATGGCTCGAGTAGTTGGGTTCTTGTCACTCATGTGGGAGACCTAGACTGTGTTTCCAGGCCCTTGCTTCAGCCCTGGCTGTGGAGAACCAGTAGACGACAGTGTTCTCTCTTTCTCTTCACGTACATATTTTAAAAGATGCATCTTGGGCCCGGCACGGTGGCGCAGTGGTTAAGGTCCTTGCCTTGCACGCCCGGGATTCCATATGGGCGCCGGTTCTAATCCTGGCACCTCCGCTTCCCTTCCAGCTCCCTGCCTGTGGCATGGGAAAGCAGTCGAGGACAGCCCAAAGCTTTGGGACCCTGCACCCACGCGGGAGACCCAGAAGAGGCTCCTGGCTTCGGATCGGCATAGTATCGGCCGTTGCGCTCACTTGGGGAGTGAATCATCGGATGGAAGATCTTCCTCTCTGTCTCTCCTCTCTGTATATCCGCCTTTCCAATAAAAATAAAAATAAATCTTTAAAAAAAAAGATGCATCTTATTTTATCATACACAGGGTCCGTGATTTAATAATCCTGTATTGATAGACATTTCTCATT